ACACCCTCACCACCCCAGTCAGATTCCACTCCACGGGGCCACGTTCAGTATACCCGCGCCCCAGGGAGGAAGTCTTTTATGCCAAACCCACGACCAGGACCCTCGCCGACCCCCCAGAGCTTTTTTGGGCATAGTGTACAAATTTTTCGGGGGAATCGTCCAAGAGCTTGCCAGGGAGGGCTTGATGCTGGTGGCTTTTTGTCAGGCGATCGCAAACATTGGGTTTCAACGACGGGTCCAGTTTCCATGGGGAATCGCGGATCTCCGCCGCCGAGCGAGGCGGCACCGGCCGCATTTTGGGGAGGGCACCTCCCGCGATCCATGGATTTGGCGACCGCGCGCCAATTCCATGGATCGCTGAGTCGCGTCCAGGGCTGGACCTCGACGGTGTTTCGGCCACCTCGTTGGCCGTTCCACTGCTCGTCCTGCTCCTCGCACGCGAAGCGCCACGAGGGCAGAAGGAGGAGAAGATCGAACGACAGAGGACGGGGAGAAGCAGCGTTTGGCTGCAGCCCTGGCCGCGCCCGTTCCTGCTGCGTGTCGGCCTGCTGCCGTCGAGGGCGGGCTGGCGCCTCGTGTCAGGGCACGTTTTTATTTGTGTGTATTTATCTGTGTGTCCCAGGGCCCCTTCATCGTGGTCGTCTCGGGCGGGCCTCCGCGGCGCCACGCCGGCGGCCCTCTCGCGCAGGAGCTCGCCACACCGGGCATCGGCATGCTGTCGCCGCCGCCGTCCTCTCTCTGCCTCTTCGTGCTCGGCCGTCGCAGGCCCAGAGGATGACAGGAGGAGGAGGAGGAGGAGGAGGAGGAGGAGGAGGAGGAGGAGGAGGAGGAGGAGGAGGAGGAATCAGCACCAATCTCGGCGGTGTGCCTCCGCCGAGGGAGGAGGATTCCGATCTCGGTGGTGGTGGCAATATTTCTGGCTTCCTGGGCGGCCGAAAGATTGCCACCAACACCGAAGTCCAGGGTCATCTTCCCCTGGTGGAGGCAACGCCCTGAGTTGGTGTTGGTGCCCATTTCCAGGCCTCCCAAGGTTGCGGCGATGTCGCGTGCTTCTGTCGTCTAGCGGGCACGGGTCAGTGGAGGGAGCGACGAGTCTGACTCGGATGATTCGGACGATGACTCCGACGACGCCAGCTCGTCGAGCAGCAAGAAAAAGAAGAAGAAGAGGACTTGTGAGCTCACGTGCAGCCGGCACTGTGGCCAGTTGAAGAGCATTCGAACTCATGAGAGCATGTTTGCAGCACTGCTCTTTCGCTGTCGCTTGCAATTGATATGTATGAGACGTTTTTGTTCATCTTCGAATCTCTGCTCGAGTCCAGATGTCTGGCGGTTGAGCAGTCTCTCCATGATGTGGACTGCATGCGCATGCAAGTGAACGTCGTGTCCAGCTGCCCGCGAGAGGTCTCGCCACCGTGCCAGCGCAGCACTAACATGTGGCACCTCTCGTCTCCATGCCTCGAGCGCTGTAACATGTGGCGCCTGTCGTCTCCATGCCTTGAGGGGCTCTTGGTGAGGCCTACCTGGGCCGTCTTGGGGTTGTCTTCGGCTTGTGTGGGGTCGTCTTGCGGCTGTCTTGGAACTCTCTTTGACCGTCTTGAGCTACTCTCGGCCGTCGGGGGGGTCTCGCGGGGCTGTCCTGGGGGCCTCTTGGGTCCCTTTTTGGGCCCTCTTGGGTCTCTCTTGGACTGTCCTGGGCCCTCTTGGGCCGTCTTGGGGCCCTCAGTGGGCTCGTTTTGGCTTCCTCTTGGCTCCTCGACGACCCTTCTAGAGCCATCTTGAGCCGAGAGGGCTGGAGAGCACAACATAGTCGAAGACCTAGAGCATCATGAGCTGTGGGAGTGATTGTGGCCTTCCTGGGATGCTTCTTGGCCTGCTCCTTGGTGTCTTCGAGGCCTCTTTTGCGCTTCCTTGGCGCCTCTTTGGCTCCTCGTTGGCGCTTTTTGGGGTCTTCTTGGGTGCTGCTGGGCGACTCTCGAAGCAGTCTTGGGAGCCCTTGGCGGTCTTGGTGGTCTTCTCGAGTCGTAGCGGAAGACTTGGAGGGCTTCTGATCGGCCCAGGGAAGCCTCGGGCCGCCCTGGTGCGCACAGAAGTCGTCAGCATCGGATTTGTATGTCTCGCGTGTCCATGTGCACTCTTGAATTCTTGACGCTTCGCATATTCCCACCAGCCCATCCAAAATCGACACCATGGCGAGTTGAGACGATCAGGGGAGTGTAGGAGCAAAGCGGAGGACCGGGGTGATCGTTAGAGGGGGGAGGAGGAGAGTGGATGAGAGCGGAGAAGGATGATGAATTTGCGGATGAGGAGGTCTCGCGCGTTCATGCGCATTTCCGCATGCACACACTTGGATTCGCATCAAGCTGCGGGAGCCTTATGGCAAGGGCCAGTCAGTGTTTTGTTGTTGCGCATCCTGTTTATGGTGCGTTCTCCTGTGCGTACTCCTGGGTTGGCCGTTGGACGGTCAGAGGAAAAAGGCATCAAAAAAAGATAAGAAGAAGGATAAGAAGAAAAAGAAGGTTAACACATTCTCTAGCTGTTTGGGGCATGTTTGCTGGAACAGGCCAGTTGTGTCTCGAGATGCCTGCCGTCCCCGACCACGATAACACATGTTGTGCACATGGGCTTCCAGGTTCTGTTCCACATAGTTCCTGTGGCCTCATTCCTCCATGTCTTCGGCCCCCTGCCTCTCTTTGCTTCCTTCTTGATGTTCGTGCATCCGTCTATCACTCATCACTCTTTTGTCATCATTCCCCGTTTTCCTCATTTGGTATTCATACCGTCCTTCCCACTGTTCTGCATGTATCCTCTTTCCTTCAATCCCTTTCTGCCGTCTCTTTCTCTCTCTCTCTCACTCACCCCCTTCTCTGGTGTTTCTCTCCTCATTCCGCTCCCCTCATCGCTCCCGCTTGCGCCTCTGCTTTCCGTCTCCCTCGCCGGCCCTCCTTTGCTTGCTGCTCGCGCCGCCCGCGCCAGTTCGTCTGATCGCCCACGCAGGTCAAGAAAAAAGATAAGAAGAAGGATAAGAAGAAGGCGGGGCCCTGCGGAACTCGGGTTAGTGCTGATCCAGGTCAGCGCTAACCCGGGTCAGCCAATGACATGTTGTGGGGGCGGCTCTATAGAATTCCTAAGCCTCACCGCCCACCAAACCACCCCAACCCAACCCGAAGGCCCCGATTTGCCTTCCATTTCCAGTGTGGGGTGGTCGGGGAACATCGGAAAAACACATATGAAGCCCGTACCCCCCCTTGCCCGAAATTCGGGTCTTCGGGTTGGGTTGGGGTTGTCTGGTAGGTGGTCAAAATCTGGGTCAGCCAGAGGGGATAGGAGGGGAGTGGCCAGCAGCCCGTCGTGGCTAAGCCCTGCTGTAGTCGGGTCCATCTGACCCTGGGGTTTCCCTCTCGTACCAGCTCTTCATCCTGAGTTCGGCGTCACCCCAACATGCTTATACTACATGTGCGTCGCCCCCGCAGGGGCGAAGCGCGCACCGAGACGTCTTATAGTATATGCGTCGTGGCGGGCGCTTTCTGGCCACACCGCTCGCGAAACGATATAATACAAGATGGGTATACTATATGTTCGGGTCGGACTCGTGCCTCCTAGGAGGACATATAGTACTAGTATGTCACTGTGCGCACCATTTTGCTTGCGTCGGTCCATCCGGTCTGACCTCCGTCCCCCTCCTCTGCCCTCCCCCTCGTCGTGAGCTTTTCTAACTGTGCCGAGCCCCGATAAACAGTGTAATTCTGACAGCCCTTCCAACTCTTGCAGCTCTTCGAAGCATCACAACCCTGATATGTGTTCCACGTCATGAGCTGCGATAAACGTTACTGTTTCAAGTTCTAGTGATGGATCCATCTTTGCTTACAATTTTCACTTCCCGAGCAGCGTTTGCACTCAGGGGCTCTTGCCGGTGATTCGCGGAGCGCCAGAAGTTTATGATCACGGCGTTTTTTTTTTTCCTCTTCTTCTTCTTCTAGAACATGCTCGGGCATACTTTAACCTTCCACCTTTTCGTGTTGCACGGTGCATCTGGTTCTGCCTCATCGCTGATCTGCTTTATGAAATCATACCGTTCCAGCCAGGCTGGTATTCCCCCCCCTCCATCTCCCGCAAAACATAGTTTGCGGTGCACACGCGTTGATCTAGGACGGGCTTCAGTTGAGAACCCCTGTGTACAATGCAACAAAGTCCACACGCGCGTTTAAGTCGTACCAAGCATATTATTCTTGCAAGTATTTCAACGTAAGCACATTCAAACTCAGGTGTCTTCCAGCACAGCAGTTAAAAAATCTGCCCGCGCGCACTTGTTGAAATCGTCGGGAATCCACGTGATGTTCGCAATCTAGTCCAGAACCCGCATTCTCATCTCAGCACGTGGTGCGTCCGCTTTGATCTACCATGCGCCGAGTGCACGAATCCGTATCAAATAGCACCATGCGGGCCACGTGCGCGCGCCGCCACGCCCGCGTGTAGACACTGGTCCAACATCATTTTTTTTTAAGCGTTCAATAACGAGTTATTCATCACCATGTGAAAGTCAAAGTGCTTTCCGACAAAAGGTCTGCCTGGTTACTTGGATTCCCGTCCGCGAGCACTTCCTCATCACTCTCATCAGCGCCATCGCATCACCGTCGTTATCGTTGTCGTCCATCGCCGCAATTGTCGCCATCATCATCACAATCACCTATATCACCTGCACGTGGACGTCATCGTCCTCATCGTCATCGTCATCGTCGCCATCAGCATCGGCGCCGTCATTGGTGGCCTTGCCGTCGCCATTGTCATCATCGCCACCACCATCGCTAGCATCATCATCGTTGCCGCCGTTGTCGACGTCGTCATGACATCGAGCCCGTCCGAGTCACCGATCCGCACTGAAGTGCCCGCGCGCCAACGCGGCCTTCGAGACGCGCTGGGAAGTTCTCCGCAACCATGGCCGAATGTATTTTCCGAACCAGTTGCGGCCAGGAGGGTACCATGTTTGCGCGAGCATCTTGAGGTGACGACTTCACAATGTCCGCGCGCATTGCAACACATAGTTTGTGCCGCAGGTTTAAGACACTTCTTCCACCACTTAGCTTGCACCACCTGTTGCACCAGGCAGCAGACACCACCTAGCTTTCACCGCAGCTGGCGCCGCATGGCTTGCACCGTATAGCGTGCCCCACATATCCTCAACGGTACAGATTGCACAATCTAGCTTGCACGTTGTAGCTTGCGCAGCATAGCTCAGGCCACATAGCTTGCATCGCATATGTTGCGCCACGCAGCTTGCACTTTGTGTATTGCACCACGTACCTTGCAAACTTTCAGCACACATTGCCCGAATCGTCTCAGCGTAATGCCTCGTATGTGGTGCAACCAACGTGGTGGATGGTTTTCCCCATTCATGAGTTGCCAACCCCATTTGTAGTGCAATCATCACACCCCCCAACCGCAAGTGATTTTACAAAACCTGTGCGGCCGCGATTGCGGTGATCACTACTTGGCCCTGGTTGGCGCATCTCTGCGGCCGCGCTGGTGCGCGCAATCTTGCGCGCAGATCGGTTAGCTGGTTTGGTGCAGCTGGTGCGGCCGCGATGGCGCTTGCCGATGGTAGCTCCCCAACGCGCCGCAAAAATCGCGCTTGCGCGCGGGTGCTTCATGCGGGTCGGTGACTCGGTCGGTCGCGGTATCATGATGGCGTCGACAGCGGCGGCGACAATTCATGCTAGTAGCATTGGCAGTGGCGGTGGCGACGGTGACGACGGCGAAGCCAATGATGGCGCCGATGCTGGTGGCGCCGATGACGATGATGATGGTGATGGTGGTGACGCTGGTGATAATATTGTAGTTATGCTGGTGAGGATTGTGGTTGATTGGTAACGGCGGCGATGGCGGCGATTGCCGATGATTCTTACGTGATGCGGCGGAGCTGGTACGAATGGTGGTGAGGAGCTGCGCGCGCATGAATTTCAGACTTCGGGTTTTTTTCGGGCTGAACCACATGCGGTTCTACACGTCTTTTTTTCTAAGCACGTTCGTTCTGACATGCTTCGGACAGGCTTTCGACACGCTCGCGCGGCGGCGCGCGCGTGTGCTCCTTATGTTGTAACAGGGGACGGATTGGTGCATTGGGCGCATGCTGGATCACAGGGTTTCCATATGACTTCAACACATGCGCGTGGTCAGACCATCTTCACTCATCTTCAAACTTTATGATGAGTCACCTCCTGTTTCGTTCGATGTTTGTTGCTGTTCGCGTGCTTGCAACATTTGCGTGTTTTGTTTTGTTTCAATATGTGCGCGCGTATGGGCCTTGCGCGCGCCAGTACAAAAAAAACATGCTTGACACGTGATCTGTTGAATGCGCGATTGCGCGCGCAAAATTTATTTTTGATCGAGATGAGGGGGAGGTTCGATGCCCAGTTGGGATGCGCTATGAGTTGGCGTGGGAAAGGAGCGACGAGGCGGAACCATGTGTAGTTTGCAGTGTCCCAAAGAGGGCGATAGGTCCGGGGGGGGAGGGTTGATATAGAGTATACAGTGGGGGCGCGCATCAAGAAACCATGTGCTTTTCGTCGGGGTATCCTGGGTTTCTTCGCTCCGCCCGCTGCGCGGTGACTTCCCGCAGCCGTTGAAGTAGCTGCCGCGTTCAGGGTGCTCCCGGGCTCCCCTCCGGCGCACCTCGCGCGCGGGTTTTCAGGGCTGGGCTTCCTGCGAGGGTGTCTCGTGGCCGCCCCCCCTCCCACCGCGTGCTTGCAAATGCTACAGAGACCCCAGCGAACTCTGCCGCGCAGTCTGCGTGGAGCGGCCGGCCTGCGCGGCGCCCGCGCCGCACCCGCGGGCGGCCACGGGCGGTGCCGCTGCGAGCGACAACGCTCCCAAAGCCGTCGGCGGACGCTGCGGGCGCCCTCGCGGCGCCCGCGGGCGGCCACACTGGGCGGCGGCCGGGCGAAGAGCCCGGAGGCCCGCCCGCCAATCGTGCGGGGGCGCCCGCGGAGGCGCCCATGGGGCGCCCAGGAGGCCGCGGGCGGCGACCGGGCGAAAGATGTCGGTCCGCAGGCCGAGTTTGTTGAGGCCAAGCCACCCGGAGATCCCGGCGCTGCACTTTTTTTTTCTTCAGAGCAGGAGTTTTAGCTCCATTTCGGGCGCCCCCGGACCCTCACAGATCGATCCGGCTCGAAAAACGCGGTCCGGGGCTCTGGGCGTGATCTTTTGCGGTGTTGCGTTTTTGTGGTAACGTCGGATCTCAGGGTAAGCATAACCCGCTAAGTGCAAGCACTGCTCGGGGCATCGTAACTTGCCTTCTTCCTTTCAGCCTTGGCGCATCTGCCAGCGTCACTGCGTATGGGCAGTTCCTCGCGGGCAGCCACTTGTGGCGTGACCGCGCGGGAGAACCGCACTGAACAACCACGCGACGACCGCGGGACGTCCGCACGGGGAAGCCGCGGGGCAGCCCCGCTGGGCGACCGCGCAGGACATCCGCGGGACAACTGCGGAGCACTCCTGGGACACCAGGGGGCGCCGTGCTGGAGGCGGAACGCGGTGCCGTCTGACGGACTGGGCCCTGCGAAGGGGGAGGACCTCCCTCTCCCTTGCGAAGCTTGGCCCTCCCTCGCGCGCGCCGCACGGACGGAAGCTGAAGTCGGCTTCCCTGTGGGGGCACTCCGACGCACTTCAGCCTCACCCCCCAGCGGCCGATATCAGCACTTCCACATCAGCCTGGTTTAGCAGAGGCAGTCTGTGTGGTGCCTTTGTTACCCTGAAGTGCTTTGTAGCCCTGCGAGGGCCGCTTCTGCAGTCAGAGCTAGATCGTGCGCCGTAGCAGTCCTCTGAGTCCACTGCCGCTAACTTTGCGACAGTGAGCGGTCAGGGACGAACTGCAAGGGCCCGATTTGGGTCGCCTCCTCCTCCTCCTGCTCCACCGTCAAGGGATCTCATCAACGTCGTGGATTTTCGCGGGGCACTTTGCTGGCCCAAGATACGAGGAGGGGATCATTCCTATCAAACCCTGCATGTGTGTGTGTGTGTGTGTGTGTGTGTGTGTGTGCGTGCGTGCGTGCGTGCGTGTGCGTGTGTGTGTGTGTGTGTGTGTGTGTGTGTGTGTGTGTGTGTGTGTGTGTGTGTGTGTTAGATGTTCACGGAATCTGCTGTTGGCTGAGATACGACCGCGTGGTCTTGCGACGCTCACGCATCTGCCCGTGCAGGCGATAAGTGGAATGGTCCGCAGCATGCGCGTTGAAACAGGCAGCATCAAGATGGAGGGGACCTCGGCAACGCCGTACTGGTGATGACACTTGTGGTGAAGGTAGCGGTGTTAAGGAATGTGTAGGGACACGATGTTCGTGACAGTAGGTAGCGGGGAGAAGGATGCCTCCCAGGATGCGGAGGAGGACAGGGGGAAACGGGGTTTACAGGCCAAGAAGAAGCGGAAGACCTGACGTGCAGCATCTTTTGCTTCACGCTTGGAGGCCAGCTTGTCCTTTTTGCGTGTGCCCCGCGTCTGGGAAAGATTGCCCTAAGGTGCACGCCGTTTCATGAAAGTAGGTCAGAGTGATAGGGCCGAGTGTATCGCTGAAACGGAGCTCCGCCGTGTGGGTTGTCGTTGCTGTTCTTGTTCTTTTTATCGTGGTCGCCCCGCGACCCACCCACGACCCGCCCGCGACCCACCCTGCGATCCACTCCGCGACCCACCCCGCGACCCTCCTGCGACCCACCTCGCGACCCACTCGCGACCCACTTGCGGCCCATCCGCCCCGCAACCCATCCGCAACCCACCCTAAGACCCACACCCGCGACCCACACGCGCGACCCACCCCCAATGTTTTGCAAGAAACGCAGCCTGCGGCGGACTGTTGATGGGCGCGTGCGACTGGCCTATCGTTCAGAAAACAGCGCCCGCGACGGACTTCGTTGCATTGGCGCTCAAGCCTCGAAGCCCCAGCGAGGCAGCCGGACGCCTCCTCACTCTTTTCCGCAATTGCGGGGCTCGGTTTTGCGTGGCCTCCCAGGCCCCGATGTGCCTCAAGCGCCCTCCTGCTTCCACGGCCGATGGGCCATCTTTTTGCTTTCCCCTCTGGGGAGCGGGCCGAAGCCCAGCCCTCGTGGTCGGCAAACACCTCCACGGCCTCGCGGGCCCATGGACACGGAACGTTTTCTCGCACACCGCCTTGTGTGGAGCGTGTCCGTGTGGCCCTGCATCCACGGGATCGCGCCCCGACATCCGGACCGCCAGGGCATAGACACGGACATGTCTGCCGGTCTCTTCCCAGCGGCCCGTGCTTCGTGAAAACCACCCGCCCTGCTTCGTGCTTCTGCCAGTCTCTTCCCAGCGGCCCGTGCTTCTGCCTCTGTCTGCTGGCAGCGGCCGCGGCTGCCGCCGCGGCCGCCCTCCTCGGCCCCCCGGCCGTCGCAGCTGCCGCGCCCGCGGCGGCCTCTGGCCGGCGCGCTGGTCGCCGCCGCGGCTGCTGGCGCTGCGAGGCCTCGCACGCCTCGAGAGGGCGGTGCTCTTTCGGCACCGCGTCCGGCCTCGCCCTCGGCGCCGGCCGCGGCGCTGCTGTCGCACAGGGGCCCCCGCGGCGCCGTCGCCCAGGTCTGCTCGCTCTCGGCGCGGCTGGTCTGCGCCGCGCTCTGAGCCACCTGGTCCGCTGCGTGCCTTCGGAGGCGAGCTGGGGCGTGGGGTGGTGCTTGGGGCATTCCCTTCTTTTTTTGTCCTCTCTCTGTCTCTCTCTGGGTCCTTGCCGCCTGTTCCGTCACTTCCTCTCCAGGTCCTTCCATCTCCTCTTCCTCCTCCGCCGCTGTTCGGTCATTCAATCTCCCGTGCCTGTCACTCGCTCCATGTTGCGCTCACTCGCGCTCATATTAAAACCTCCCTCTCTCTCTTGTGCGTGTGTGTCTTTTACTCTCCCTCCTTGTCGTCTGTATCTCTCCTCGTATTTCTCCTTCTTTGTCTCTCTCCTATCCCTTCATCTCTTGCTTTTTCTCGTCTCCGTTTCTCTCTGTCTCTCTGTTTCTCTCTCTCTCTCTCTCTCCTGTTGGCTCCAGAAACAGCATGCCATGCGGGAAAGCATGTAAAAGCACATATGCATCATGTATTTCGAAAGGTTTCGTCAATGGAACCGGGAGAAAACACAGATATTACAGATAAGTTTGGAGGTTCTTGTTAAGGTAACCAGGTGAACTCCGCTGATGCAGCATATATTGTGAAGGTTTGATGAGGGGATCCTGTGAACACATTGGTATCACATGTACTTGCAGGTCTGCTAGAGACGGGCGCACCGTCAGGAGCTTGGGGGCGGGGCAGGAAGCGAAGGGGCGTCCATCCACCAGAACACCTGAGCATCTATGTTTTGTTTACATGTGTTAGCACAGGGTTTCCTCAACGACGCCTTCAAACTTACCTGTGTTTTCACCGGGTTCCTGAAGGTTTTGTGAATGGAACCTTATGAACACACATAAAGCATGTACTTTTGAAGGTCTTGTTCAGGAGGCCTGGTGAGTACACATAGATGGCACATATGCGTTTGCAGGTTTGTCGAGGAAACCAGGTGAACACTCAATTAGAGCATTTACGTACATTCATACATACATACATACGAGCGTACTACGTACGTACATACGTACTTACGTATCTATACATACATATATATATAGATATACATGTGTGTATGTATATATATATATATATATATATATATATATATATATATAGATATTTCTCGGGACGGGCGCGCGCCGCCAGGGCATGACTTGTTATTTGGTGTGGGGGGGGGGCAGGAAGCAAAGCGGCGCCCATGCTCTAGAAGAGTTGAATCTCTGTGTTTTACACGTGTATTCTGAAAGGTTTCCCCAGCAACACCTTCAACCTTTGATGTGTTGTTTGTGTTTCCACATGGTCTCCGAAGGTTTTGTTCAGGGAGCCCAGTGAGGTGTCTTCACTGACGATTCTTCCGTAAGGACCCCATGAGAGGTATTCTTTGTTGCATGTTCTTTCGTAAGGGTTTCTTGTTAAGGACTCCGTAGCAAGGATTATTTACGGAGGTTCCCTTGTCATATGTCCGTGCGAAGGATTATTTGTTGCATATTCTTCTCCAAGGACTCCTTAGTGAGGATTCCCTTGTCGAGCAATCCGCGGTAAGGATTCGTTGCTAAGGAGCTTTCGAGCAGGATCATCTGAGGACGAATGACGCTCATAACACTGCAAACAATAACATCAACCATATTCTGACGACGAAGAACACGTATGGTCACGTGTGTGTGTGTGGTGTTGGTGGTGGTGGGGGAACACACATATATACATATATGTTTGTGCTTGTGTATACGTGTGTAAATGTATGTATATATATATATATACATTGCCGGCACGGGTGAGGAGGATTGATGCCTTGCAGGAGAGACACATGGATCGTTCTTTGGCGTGGTTTTGGGCGTACATCTTGATCGCCATCGATGTTGTCCGTACCTCGTGGTTTCTTCGACCTTGCTGCAGAGATGTGCGCCTTTGTTTGTGCTGACATGACGGGCGTTGATCGTTATATTATTGTGATGGTATATTTTGCTATGCGCAAGGGTGATCATTTTCTACAGGAGACTGCCAGGGCTGATCACGGTCCGATTCGATCCAATCCGATCTTTGAACTTCGATTATGGTTTCTATCCGGTCCCGTCCGACACGAGTCGACACCCTCTACGGCCTGCAAGGGACCGAGCCCAATCCGTGATCCTTCCACCGATCCGCTTCCGACCCGAGTCCCAGGCCGATTGGAGGCGCGGTCCGATCCGTTTCCAAAGCGATCCGATTTCGTAAGTCGATCCAGCTGAGGAGGAGGAAGAGGAGGAGGAGTAGGAGGAGGAGGAGGGGGAGGGGGAGCGGGAGGGGGAAGAGGAGGCGGAGGAGGCGGAGGAGGATTTCGATTGTATCACCCCTGCTATGGGACTACATCGACTTGCTCTCGCCGCTCCTTTGGGTGAGGAGGGGTGCGGCGCACTTTTGCAAACAGGATGACTTGCTCTCTCCCCTCTGTACACTTTGACGGCCTGACGTATATCTGGTGAGGTGACTTGTGCACCACACAGGTCCTTCCTGAGGGACTACCCTTCATCAGGATTTTGCTTGTTGCGTCGTCCCGCTGATCAAGTGATTGCCGTGAAGGGAAGGGATCCCGTGTCTTCCCCACGAGGTCCGGGCTGCTGACGCGGTCCCCGCTGCCCCGGCTGGCCGTTCCGGCCCGCTCATCGCGAAACTCTTCCACGTCTGAGCGCCCTCCCCCTCCTCCCCTCGCGCGGCCGCTCTCGTCTTCGTCACTTCCTCTTGCACGCCGGACACTTTGCTTTTCGGTTGCCCCGATTAGCCCCACGATGGTGCGGACTGCCTGTGCCCACGCGCATTGGCGTATACTGCTCTGCTTTTTTGGGCGGCGCGCCATGCTTTCGTGCCCAGCTGACGAGCTCTTCTCTTTGGCCTTTGTTTGTCATTTCCCCGCAGCGCGCGCGGGCGTGATGCGTGCACGTGGCCCCGCGCAAAATGTGTTTTTCTCGAATCTCCCTTCTGTTCATCTGCCTCGCATCCCATTATTTTGTGCATGTTCTTGTCTGCTTCTGTGTACCTGTAGGTCTCCGTCCCAGATTTTTGTTGTTGCTGTGCTTGGTTTTTTCTTGTTGTGTTTTGTATTAAAAATGGTTGGTATTTCAATATATTTGTATGCTGTACCGTTTATATTGCTATGCTTGTATGTATGCATATATAGATATGTACATATATATATGTATGTATATACACATTCACTTACTCATTGTTCATTTATTCGGATTTGTTAGTTTTCTTTTTTCGTGTCGTAATAACTAATTATGTAATATTGATTTGCTTACATATGTATATATATACATTTATATGCTCTCACTTGTTTATATCCATACACATGTGCCAATATGGGGCGCCGTTTCTTTGTTCTGCCTTGCTCGTAAGGCGCGGGAGAGACAATCCGATGCTTACGGGGCAGCCTCAGCCCCGATCGCCCGCGTCCACGACACCCGCCTTCATCACCTCCGCCCTCCTGCCGCATTCTGTCTCCGCTCTCGGTGGTCTCCCTGACAATTCGGAAAACCTTGGCGGCGAGCGAGGTAGGGGAGTGAGAAGGAGAAGGCCCTCTCAGAAGGTGGCGGGGCTTCTCAGAAGGCGTCCGGCCTTTGACAAGTTTTCTGTGTCTTCGGGGACGGCTTTGGACACTTCTCAGAAGGCTAGCGGACTGCCGAGCTGTCTAAGAAGGCCCGCCCCTCGCCGAGAACAAGCGCAACTCTTCGAAATCTTCAAACCAGCGCGCGAGCCAAGCGTTGTTCTGGCGGTTTCGTGGGCAGTTTTAGTGTGGACCTCGAAGACTGAACATTTGGAGCGAAAACAACACGAGAACGAAGAGCCCTGTAGAGCTCCAGCCCTGTCCCGATGATCTTATCGACCGTTCGAGCAAGCACAGCCTTTCGAAATCTGCAAACCGGCGCCGCTGCCAATATCTATTTATCTATCTATATCTATTTATATATCTATATCTATATATATATATCTATATCTGTATCTATATCTATATCTATATCTATATATGTATATATCTATATTTGTATCTGTATCTATATCTATATCTATATCTATATATGTATATCGGGGGCCCCCAAACGGGGTGGTGACCACACCATGCGGTGAGTCGGTGGGGATTCGGGGTCATTGCATGGTTTTGGGACTCGAGTCGTTCTCCGAGGACGTCTCGGGCGACTGGGGTATTCGAGGTCCCTAAACCGTGCGGTGACGGACCGTGCGGTGAGGTCTTGGGGGATTTCGAGGTCACCGTCCGGTCTGTCACCGCACCGTTTCGGGGCTCCCTCCGATGGATACTTCCTGGGCCTCAGGGGAGGGTGGCGGTGTATGAATCAACACTGGGAGCCAGCGATTTTACACACCGCCGCCCTCCCTGAAGGTACATGCAAAATTCGCTAGAGGGTGTTCGTGTATATAGCTCTGGGAGCCAGCGATTTTATACACCGCCGCCCTCTCTGAAGGTACATGCAACATTCGTCGGAGGCTGTTTGTATACATTTATATGTATATGCATGTAAATACATATACACGCAATAATGTATGTATGCATGTATGCATGCATGCATGTATGTATGTATGTTTGTATGCATGCATGTATGTATGTATGCATGCATGTATTTATGTATGTATGTATGTATGTATGTATGTATGTATGTATGTATGTATGTCATGGATGTATGTATGTATGTATGTATGTATGTATGCATGCATGCATGCATGCATGCATGCATGCATGCATGCATGCATGCATGCATGTCTGTATGTCTGTATGTCTGTATGTCTGTATGTCTGTATGTCTGTATGTCTGTCTGTCTGGTTGTATGTATGTATGGATACATGCATGTATGTGTGTGTATATATATATATATATGTAGAGCGAGAGAGAGATTCGTGGCGTACGTTACCCGTGGCCTCCTTTTCGGGACCCACGCACCCCTGGGCTCCACCAGCTTCCGCCGGGCAGCGGCCCCGGGACGTTCCCACACAACATTCGATAGACGTCCTGGGGTCTCAGGGTTGGGTTCCTCTTGGACCTGCCTCCACAGTACATGCAGCTCTAGTTCTTAATAAGCTGAGATCCTTGGGTAATTCTGTACTTCGGGCTGATCCTGGAGTGACCTCCAAGGTCCCGAGAAGAAGCAGCCACTTTCGGCTTCCGGCCTTGCGCGGCGCCCACAACTTCAGGGCCGCCGTCTCGGGCGACCTCTTCGGGACGGGGCGGAGACTCACCGAGCGCGTTCCACTTCTTTCAAAGTGCCTACTCGCAAACTTATATGTAGCGTATCGTAGATCACCCATGGCGGATCCAGGCCGTTTGCGAATATACATGCTCTGCGAGTCGTGGAGCGTGCTCGTCTAAGGACGAGGACAAATCCGTTCCAGGGCGTTCTGGAGCGCTCTCGGAGCGTTCGGGAACGCCCGGAGGAGGCCGCGGCGCCCGAGACATCCTCCAAAGCCGTCGGATCTCAGAGATTTTCGATCTGTCCTCACCCAATTTTATCTTGTCTTGGCTTCGTCTTAACCTTGAACCTCGGCCCTGCGTGGAGCCCAGAAATTCTGAGCCGCCTTTCGCAAGCGACCTTGAGTCCTGGCCCAGCGTGGTACGTAGAGCATCTGATGCGCAATCCACGGCGACCTCGAGCCCTGGCCCTGCATTTAAGTCGGGCCTGTCCCTCTACAGGGGGAATATCAAAAAATAGTTAAACCATAGTCTGGGGACGATGCTTCGAGTATTTCCGGATATTTGTCGCGAGTATTTTTCTACTATTTTCCCCCCTGGAGGGGGATAGGCCCGACCTCACCCTGGCCCTGTGTGGAGCCCAGAAATTCCGAGCTGCCTTTCGCAAGCGATCTTATGACCCGGCCCTGCGTGGCGCCAGCAAGTTCTTGAGGCGCTGTTTTTTAAGGCGGCCTCGAGCCCTGGCCCTGCGCGGAATCCAGAAAGTCTTTCGGGGGCCCCCCACCACACGGGGTGGTGGCCACACTGTGCGGTGAGCCGGTAGGGATTCGGGGTCACCGCACGGTTTTGAGACTCGGGTCGTTCTCCGAGGACGTCTCGGGCGACGGGGGCCTCCGGGGCCCCAAAGCCGTGCGTTGACGGACCGTGCGGTGAGGTCTTGTGGGATTTCGAGGTCATTGTACGGTCTGTCACTGCACCGTTTCGGGACTCCAAAGGTCTTTGCCGTCGTTTAGGGCGACCTCGAAACTTGGCCCTGCGTGGGCTCCAGATCTTCTGGGCCACCTGTTGCAGACGACCTCGAACCCCCCAGTTCTGCGCAGCTCTTGAAGCTGTTGGGCTGAGGTGTAAGGCGACCCAGAAGCAAGTGGCGAGAACGAGTTGCAGTCAACATGATTAGAACGACGAAAAGGGACTACAGACATCAAAACTACGAAAATGGACTGAAACACGACACGTGATTAAAACTACGAAAAGGAACTGACGTAAGAAAAAGGAACAAAGGGAATCCATGGAACGAACACGATCAACGAGGCAAATCAAGTTTAGCATGTAAAAACGAGTACGAACAATTTAAGAAACGACCAGAAGGGAAACGCAAAAAGGGTCTAACACGGATCAAAGCGACTAAAAGGGAACCGACTGACGAACAAGGAGGAGGATGTCAGAGGGTAAAGAGGCCGATGAGAGAGGAAGAGCAGGAGGAGGAGGATGAAGAAGGTTCGAAGATGAGCGGAGAGGATGGTGGATGAGGGTGAGGCAGAACGGAGGGGGATGATGATAGGGCAAGATGAGAAGAGGTTGGAGTGGGGAAGTGAGGAGGACAGAGAACGAGGATAAGCAGAGAGCAACCAACACGACATAATGTTCATGATGAGGTCGACAGAGAACGGGAAGACGAAGAAAGGAGCTAATCTAAAAACGCTGAAAGCATTCGGGCCTTTATACAGCCTGGCGCCCCTCGTCCTCGTCCTCATCCTCGTCCTCTCGTCTTTCTCATCCCTCTTCTTCACCTGCAACAGGAATGCAGTTGCAAGTCCTCCGCAGCAGGAGTTGACCTGTCATGTCATGTGTGAACCAACCACGACAATAATCCAATTGCAAACCTGCCGCAAAAATAACTCAAGTGTAAATCCCTGGCAACGGAAACACCATGGTAAACCCGCCTCTGATTGTATATCATTTGCAGTTGCAATCTGTTTGGAGGCACATGAGAAACGACAACGTTGAACAATTGAAAAACTGAACTACAACGATCATCTCGTAACTGATATTCTCGGACCCCCTACAGAAGGGGCTAGAATTTTAAAGCCTCCGCAACAGCGGTCTAGCTGTAAATCCCTCGCACGGAGCGGATCCAATTATACGTTGATTTCGTTGATTTGTGCACAGCTGGAAATCTCACTTCAAGCTAGGTTCATAACCAATTCTCGTAATATTCCATTTTCCACATATATATATATAGATATACGTGTTTCCGTATTGTCAGGTTTTCAATGTTTGTAGTTCCTATGTGGATTCCTCCTGCAAGAAGAATACATTTGTTGAACGGACCACCACAGGAATTAGGAATTTAGTTGTTAACCCATCTCGCACGGAGCCTTATGCGATCGCGTCGGCATCCCGGCACTTCAGTATGTGGTGCAGTCCGCATCACATAATGGCAAGTGGACCCACGGTCAAGAGGATCCACAATGCCATCGCATGAAGATGTTTTCTGAGAAGACCCCGTAGCGGCGCATTGCGCACTTCCTGGATGCGTGCTCGACGTTACGCCCGAGCAGAAGAGATTGGTCCCAGTACGATATGACGCGAAGCATTTCGTACATACCTCTTCTATTCCGCTGGCAACTGCAATATTTCGTCGGGTTGCGACGACGACGCGCGAAGTTTGCAGCGACTGCGTTTGTGCACAACCACGATATGTTTGGCTGTTGTCAATTCAGGGGCTCATGCCACTGGGATAATGCGAGTAC